GCGTTAACCTCGCTAATTTTCTTCTCGGTTTTACTTGAGTGTTAAGGTTTTAACTTTTCAATCAAGGCAAAAGAGTCACAGCTTTAAGGTATTCATTTCAGAGCTATTATCTCCATCAACCTTTATTTTAAAATTTATGTTAGTGCTTCAGTAGTTTGATAAGTTTTCCCCAACTCTCACCTCAACCTCCTTGCATCTGTCCCCAGCTAATAAAATATGCAGAGACTTTTCTCCCTGCCCCCAGATAAGGAGTCTTCCTTCCAATGAAAAATTTTTTAGTGGATCCCAACACATAACAAAAATGTAGCTGTTCTGGTTGAAATGTCGAAGGGGGTGTGGAGCCCCACTGGCTTCAGCCCCATGTCTGTCCTTTCCCTTCCACTTGCTGCTACCAGGACACCTCGTTGTAATCCGAAGGGCTCCTTGGAGTAATTTGACCACATTTATCTAGAGACTCTTAGAATTGTATAATTTTAGACCTGAAAAGGACTTCACCTTTTAAACCAGGGTTTTCCAAACTTGCCTAATCTTGACCATCCTGTGGAATGCTTGTTAAAAATAGATTTCTGGAATTTACTTTAGACCATTAGAATTATAATCCTTTAGGATTAAGTTGCCTGAGAATCTGTGCTAACAGTTACCCCTAGTGATTATTATAATTAGGCAAGTTGTAGGAAACATCATTCTGCTTTTTGTCAGCTGAGGAAATGAGCTATAGTGAACTGAAGTGAGTTTCTCATGTAGGGTTGTCTTGTTTTAGCCTCTTAGAAATAGTGTCTTCCTGGCTTAAATACTGAACTGAGTAATCACAAATTAAATCTTTGATCATTCCAGCCCAGTAGAATCTGAAAGAAGGAATCTTTCACTAGTAAGAATGATGCCTAAGTGTCAAGGAAAGGATGAAACAATCTAGAGAGGGGCTGGTGCTGATTTGGTACTGGCACAAAATATAAGCAGATGAGGAATAGCAAATAGGGGGAAGTTAAGTAGCTTTTCAAACTTTGCATGAATGACCCTGTAAGATTGCTTCTCTGAGTTCATTTAGAATTCCACAATATTATTCTTTTGAGAAGCTGAAAAATACCCTCAAAGCAAGCAAAAAATCCAGCCCCAACAATGGCAGTGACAAAAAGTGCAACATAAAACAAACACAGCCAAGTTTAATTAGCCATGCTGCTATTTCCTACATCCTTCTAATGAGAAAAAATAACTTCTGTTACTTAGCTATTTGATGCTATCTTTCCTTTTATCTACATTTTTCTCCCATATGTTTTATATGTGCGGTCCCCAAGCCCCGGGCTGTGGACCGGTGCTAGTCCATGGCCTGTTAGGAACCAGGCCACACAGCAGGAGCTGAGCAGCAGGTGGGCAATCAAGTGAAGCTTCATCTATATTTACAGTCGCTGACATCACCACATAAGCTCTGCCTCCTGTCAGGCCAGCTATGGCATTAGATTCTCATACGAATGCAAATCCTGCTGTAAACTGCACACATGAAGGATCTAGGTTGTGCATTCCTTATGAGAATCTAATATCTAATGATCTGAGGTGGAGCTGAGGCAGCGATGCTAGCACTGGGGAGCAGCTGCAAATATAGATTATCATTAGCAGAGAGGTTTGTCTGTACAATAAATGTAATGCACTTGAATCATCCTGAAACCATCCTCCCCCTGGTCCCTGGAAAAATTGTCTTCCATGAAACTGGTCCCTGGTGCCGTAAAGGTTAGGGACTGCTGCTTTATATAGTGTCTAAACACTGCTATTGTGATTGGTCATCAGAGACAATTTTAAATTGAACTATTTTAGAGGTAGAATAAGTTAGAGCATAATGAATATGACCATTTATTCATTTAATCTGCAAATATTTATTGATTACTTTTATGTGACAGGCCCTTGCTAGGTATTGGGAATACACTGGTCCACACACACACACACACACACACACACACACACACACACACATCTATAATGTAGACCAGTAGAAATATCTTGTTTATACTTTTATTCTATAGAATTGCCTTATTATAGTGACCTAATGCTGTTCTGCTTTTGATGGTGATGTGTTGCCTAATGCTGATTGTAGAAAATGATACTGAAACACAAATATCTATATTCCTTTAAAATGGACTTCTCCAATAATACAAAATTGAATATCACTTTTATCTGTA